CCCATCCCAAACACAAAAACCAGTGCTGGCTGTCCAGCTGAACAGTGTGAGGAGCCTGACTCTGCCCAACAATAGCTGTGACCCATAAAAAGGGACGTCTTATTTCCTTTTCTTGCAGAGACAGGTAATTAAGTTTGTCAAAGGCGGTGAAGGTCACAAGATTCTGGCTTTGGTTTCCCGAGCACAGCTTCGCTTTCTGCTTGCGAGTCGTCCCAGCCAGATTCGAGGGGAGATAGAGTTAGGACGGCACAACTCTCGGTTTGCCAGGGGCAGCTACCAGGAGTGCAGCAGGGGCTGGCTTCGCTGGCTTTTTTTTTTTTACACCCACGAACGGCGTGAGCACCTCGGTCCTCTGCTCAGTGGGCTGGTCCCAACCTGAAGCTCGCCGAGCGCCGCATCCCCCGCGGGCACCGCGCAGCGCAGGGAGCGCTCCCCGCCCCGCCCCGCCCGCGGCGGGGAGAGCGGCGGAGCTGCGGGGCCCTGCGGGGCGGTGCGGGGTCAGGCAGCCCCTGCCCTCCCCCGGGGGGACGGGCCAGCCCGCCGGGGAGCCGGGCTTTTCCGTGGGTTTGTGCTGTCACCCCGTCTGGGGACAAAGTTTGGGAATAAAGGGAGGGCTTCCCCGCCTAATCCCGGAAGGGAAGGAGAGCTGAGAAGGGCAAGCGCGACCGCCTGCTCCGTGGAGGGCCGTTCCCTGCTTCCCGCACCTCCGGCTCGGCTCCTTCTTGTGATGCTCGCGGGGGACGGGGCCGGGGCTCTCGGCGGGGTGCTGGGCGCGCTGCGGGGCTGTAGCCGTAAGGAATGAGTCTCCACGCTCTCTCCACAGACTAGCCCCCGCTCAAACAGGAGACGTCCGATTCTTCGGGTTCTCAAGGATGCGAGTAACTTAGTGATTCGTGTTCTGGTACCCACCTGGGCACTGCTGCCTCCTGGAGATACAGCCCGAGGAACCGACCTGTTGTACCTCACGGTACTTCACACCGCGTTTGTGAGACTGTTGTGCAGCCTCCCTTCCTGCAAGGAGCGTCCAAATGGCATCTTTCCTTTCTCTTACGAGCTGATACCAACTGCTCCTATAAAAATGATGGTCTGAAAGAGGGAGGGCACTGTAGAATTAGCATTTAATGTAATGGGTTTTGGTTGGGGTCACCCAGCCGGGTCTTCTTGCTTGTAGTGGCAAATTTGACCAGATTTTCTCTCTTTCCAGGGTAGAGCGAGCCCTGCGGAGACGCTCTAGAGGGACCACCCCCCACTTCTCATCTCGCTGTGAGTGGACTATGGTGGCAGGAAGATGTTGGCTCGGAAGAGTATCATCCCCGAAGAGTATGTGCTGGCACGGATCGCTGCCGAGAACCTGCGCAAGCCGCGCATCCGGGACCGGCCGCGCAAAGCCCGCTTCATCGCCAAGAACGGCGCCTGCAACCTGGCGCACAAGAACATCCGCGAGCAGGGGCGATTCCTGCAGGACATTTTCACCACCTTGGTGGACCTGAAGTGGCGTCACACGCTGGTCATCTTCACCATGTCCTTCCTGTGCAGCTGGCTGCTCTTTGCCATGATGTGGTGGCTGGTGGCTTTCGCCCACGGCGACATGGACCCGAGCACAGAAAACGCCGCCAACAGCACCAAGTGGACGCCGTGCGTGACGTGTGTCAGGTAAAGTGCGGTCAGTGGGGTGAAGGAAGGGTGGGGAGCAGAGCTGCCTGCTGTCCTGGAGTTGCCTAAAATGCAGCTTTTGGTTTACACAAACAAAACGTTGTGTTTGGTTGAGACAGTTGAAAAGTGCAGTGTTTTCCTCTAGATTGCGTATATTCAGCAAGCCTGCCGGGCTTGGAAAATACTGTACTGTAGATTTCTTTGATTCCTTACAGGATCTGAGAGAGAGGGAGACCTGCTGCTTTTCATGTGTCTCCACACTCTGTGGGTAACATACCTTGCCTGTCGAGATAAGAGCCTGCTGCAAGAGTGGGTATGTGTTATATGTATTGTAACGTTGTCTACGGCAGCGGGAGCATCTCCAGCCTGGTGGTCACTCCGGAGTGGTGCCCGAGAGGCAGGACACCAGCTGTGGGTGCCAGGCAGGGCTAGCAGGAAGAGTGTCACTTAGGACGAAACTGGATGTCTTTCAAGATGACTCTCACGGGACAGTTAAATATAGAGTGCTTCAAAATACCTTGGTGAAGCCGCAGGTTTGACAAAGGAGCAGTTTCCACAGTGAACATGATGTGTCAGACAGTGAAAGCTTAAGGGATGACTAGTTTAAATGTCACCTGCTAGGGTATTTTACCTTCCACCCCCAAACCCATGACAGTTGTCAAGGCACTGATAAACTGGCACATTCATACACAGAAGAGAAGACTGTTTGTTAATTGGAGGTGGGGTAAGCAATAAGATCGCTTCTGCATCTGTTAAATCTGTTTTTTTAGGGAAAAAAATCCTGGTTTGGTACCACCAGACTGCCCCAGGTCAGCTGCCCTTACACATTGCAGTGCTATGAGGGTCCAGGGAGCTGCAGGGTCCTCTGAGACATCAGAGAATCCACGTCTCTTTTCTCCTTTCTCCTCCATAGCTTTGAGACACCCCACCAAGTTTGAAGGGACATTGTATCTGGCTCATGAGGGAGCAGAGATTTAATTCCCCTTTGTTCTGACAATTTTTTGCTACGTGGGGGATTTTCCAAGCTATAGGGAATGGGGATTTTTCTGAGCTAACTTTCAATAAGTTTGGGGGGATTGGAGCAGGGGTTTCTGCCTTATTTCTTTTCCAATGTGTGGCCACAAGCAGTCTCCTCTGAAATGAGATGTCATGACCTAGCTTGTGCCCGCGGGAGTGTTACCCCCGGCATTTCTGGGATTTCGGGGATTGGTCCAGCCGGAATTAGCAAGCAGCTACAACCCTCCAGCTCTTCAGGGTCAGCTGAAGGGACATCCCTCTGTGTGGCTGGCAGCCCCCTCAGCGTGGCCCACCCCATGGGGTGGCTACTGGGTCACCCTGCAGAACCTGAGCCGGATGCCAAGGGCTTCGTGCCTCTGGGACTGGGCCCCTCCACAGCCAGGACTCTGCCCCTCATCCCCTCCCTGGAGCCCCGGCTGCTGCAGCGCCACCTTGGCAGCTTTTCCAGGATGTGTCCTGCCGGGACAGCCAGGAGGGGTGTGGAAAAGCAGAGCCAATGAATCGGTGTAACTTTCCGGTTTAGCCCGTGCCAAAGAACACACATCCGTCCCTCGGGCCAGTACCTGGGGTGGCTCAGCCAGCAGCTGCTGGAGTGTCCATGTGCAAGCCATGGAAAATCTTCTCCCTTCGTAGTGAAATACTTGCCCTTGTTAGATCTGGCTACCACTTTGGTCAAAGCTGGGTAGTAACACTGTGATTGCTGCCATTTTTAAGGATGGCGAGTTGTTGGGTGCAAAATATCTTTAATATTGCATTTAATATTATATGCCAAAATAATGGCAAACAATTTTTAACCTACTTCCCTGAGGTTTAGGCCCACAGATATTTCAGGAGGGCTTTCTTGGGTTGGTACCATTACAGATTTACGGGAAATCTGACTTTTGAAATTTTAACCAGTGCCCAGAACCTGCACAGCACTTTAATTTTTCAAAGTACTGCAGAAGTTTCTAAGTCTCGCAGCTCTGCCACAGGAAGTGAACATTATCCAAAAAGGAAAACTGCTACACAGCTCTGAGGGAAAGGACCTGGGAACAGTGTGATTTGGAGTTTCTGGCTCCCTTTTCACATGGTCAAAATGCTTTACAAACTTGCTGTTTCAGTTACTTCCACTGTTAAAAGTGGATTTCCTTTACTTTGTTTTTCTTTTTAAAAGAAGGAGTATTGTTAAGGAAAATCAGGGTATTTACTCTGCAGAGCTTTAAGTTGAATTAAGATGAATTAAGTTTAATCCAGAAGCTTCATTCTGCATATAAATAAATATTCATTAGCATAAGTAATCATTCCATGGATTTATATTAATTAACTCCTTCGTACCAATTTGTTATGAGTGGATTGCAAAAATAAACCCACTCAATACAAAGGAATTGGCTAAAAATTAAAAAAATAGAACAGGTAAAGAGTTCTTTCAAAGATATCTCTGCAGAGACTGGCTGGTTTTCTGAAAGATGGATTTTCTCATTCTAAAGAAAATTATCCCTGATATGGCCCATGCCATTTTAATGTCTCTTCATGACCCCAGTGAAAATACAATTAGTTAAAAAAAAAGAAAAAATATTTAAAATCAGATTCATTGAAAAGTAAACCAAACCCAATGGATTATTTAGAGCCATCTTCATGGGCAGGACATATTTGCCATAGGTGAAGCCCTGTTGAGCATGGTGATGCTCCAAATTTGGTGGATAGTACTGTGTTAAAAGGGTGACTATGACATTAGTTCACACGAGACCCAGCATGCTGCGAGTTTACCAGATAAACCCCGAGGTAGTGATTTTAGACACATGAGACTTTGCTGTAAAAGTCTTTGGCTGTAAAAGGAAATTAAAGACCCTGATATATACAGGGGATATGACCTTGTGGGCTACTATAAATAATGTATTTTGGGAAGTTTGTGGGCAGGGTTTTCTGATGTCCAGCACCATAGAATATTAGGGAATTTAACTTAACCCACACTTCTACAACCCACTTCTGTGTGCTGAAATTTTCTGGCTGGTCTTGCCATGGCAGTGAGCTAAACCCAAGCCCTGGGTCACAGGATGTGCAGGGGGCACCATGGAGGCCACTGGCCTCTTTCTGCAGCCTGATCCTGCAGGTTCAGTCACAAGGCGAGCAGGGTTTTGGGAAGTGTCACAAATCTGGGAGTGTTCCCTTTCCCTCCAGGAAGTTCTGGGTCATGATTCAGGTAGCATGAATGAAAGGCCGCAATTTTCCCCGTTTCCTTTCCCTGCACAGGCTGGTGGAAGGATCTCAGTGTGCCAGCTGATTGCTCACTGTTGCCAAAACTGCCTCTCTCCACCAAGAGCTTCATGGGATGGGGAAGGTGGAAAGCTCAGGTGTTACAGAGCTGTTGACTGACACAGTGGGCAGGATGTGCTCCTGAGCAGAGACTCCAATGAGCTGCTCAGGGTCACCTCGTGTTACAGACGGTCTTTTAGGGGCTCAGGCTCTGATGTTTCCCTGCCACCATCAGATACTACACCCACCACACAAAAACAGAGTCAGCAAGCACACAGTTGTGGTGTTAACAGAAGGCTTAAGTATGCCAGAACTGTACAAATAGGTCCTTAAATTTGTTTCTACAAAGTACATGTGAACAGTTTCCCAGTTTGTGTTACCGTGTCCTGGGAGTTAATTTGCTGCAATCTTCCCCTACAGGTCTTTCACCTCCGCTTTCCTCTTCTCCATTGAAGTCCAGGTGACCATTGGTTTTGGGGGCAGGATGATGACAGAGGAATGTCCCTTGGCCATCACGGTGCTGATCCTGCAGAACATTGTGGGTCTGATCATCAATGCCGTCATGCTGGGCTGCATATTCATGAAAACAGCGCAAGCCCACAGGCGGGCTGAGACCTTGATTTTCAGCCGGCAGGCCGTGATCGCGGTTCGCAACGGCAAACTCTGCTTCATGTTCCGAGTGGGAGACCTCAGGAAGAGCATGATCATCAGCGCCTCGGTGAGAATCCAGGTCGTGAGGAAGACCACGACCCCCGAAGGAGAAGTCATACCCATTCACCAGGTAGACATCCCCGTGGACAACCCCATCGAAAGCAACAACATTTTCCTTGTGGCGCCGCTGATCATTTGTCACGTCATAGACAAGCGGAGCCCTCTCTACGACATCTCCGCCGCTGACCTGGCGCTCCAGGACCTGGAGCTCATCGTGATACTTGAAGGAGTCGTGGAAACAACGGGCATCACGACGCAGGCCAGAACCTCCTATGTGGCCGAGGAGATCCTGTGGGGCCACCGCTTCGTGCCCATCGTCACCGAGGAGGAAGGTGTGTACGCAGTCGACTACTCCAAGTTCGGCAACACCGTCAAGGTGGCGGCGCCGCGTTGCAGCGCTCGGGAGCTCGATGAGAAGCCCTCCATCCTCATTCAGACCCTGCAGAAGAGTGAGCTGTCCCACCAAAACTCCCTGCGGAAGCGCAACTCCATGAGGAGGAACAACTCCATTCGGAGGAGCAACTCCATGCGGAGAACCAACTCCTCCCTCATCGTGCCCAAAGTGCAGTTCATCACGCCCGAGGGGAGCCAGAGTGCCTCGGAAACGTGAGGCACAGCTTTGTGTGAGGCCGCTGGGCTTTGGAAGGAGGAGACACCTGTGGGGGTTTTGCTTAAATTTCCTTTTACTTCAGAAAACGAGAACACGACGCAGAAGAGAACCGTGCAAGAACTATTTAATCCATTACTTACTGAAAGCACCACCTAATGGCATAAGAAAACACTTTAGCACTTAGTGTATGAATTAATAAAAAATGGCACGTACACTAAAGAAAGCACAGTTCACCCATGTAATATAATGTGTATTTATACTTGTTTTAATGGCACGCTAATTGTTTTAATCATATTTTTCCTAACGGGGGTCTCTTTCTTGTCTTCTACTGGGTGTCACAAGGTGTGGTGTTTTCCTGTGTAAGTGGGTTACCCACCTGCAGGCAGAAGTGAGTTCTTTTACCAAACTTCTGCATACAACAGCTCCCACGGATTTTGTGCAAGATTATTTGGATGTTGAACTTTTTTGGGTGTGAATTCCTTAAAAGGAGTAGCTAAATCCCTCAATGATTTCACTGGAGGAGAGCCACTGTTTTACCTTCATTTTCCAGGCTTTTTCTTTTCCTTGGTTTGTGGCAAGGGCATTTTGAGAGCCCATTCAGGTCAGGTGAAGTGACCTGTCCGTCCCACAGGAAAACTGGTGCCACTCCGGGCAGCAATGGCAGGAAAACCAGTGGAACAGCAAGGAGATACTCAGCTGCAGGACAACACACATCTTAGTGTAACTGTAGCCCAAGCTGAGAAACTCCAGTCCTCCTGGCTGCTACCTGAGCATCTGTTTCACTGAAATGATTCAAGCTGGAAAAATCGAATGCCTCTCTAACATCCTCTTCGTGTGGGTGGAAGACCAAATCCTGTTTTGTTTCCTCTTATAGATTCATACATGGAAGACAACACATGTACATCCTTCACTTACAGTATTTTTCATAGGATTAAGTCTGTTTGCTCCAGCAGAAGGTTGCATTTTGCCAGTGGGAATTCATGAATGGGAATGTGAGGGAACCATGCCAATAATATTAGAGAAAGTATTTGCAAAACTATCTGAATAATTTTCAGGGGGACTTGGGTGCTGCTGCTGCTGAATTACTTTTTTTTTTCAACAGCATCTCACTTGTGTTTTTATATAACCTGGCATTGAGAATTGGTGGTAAACAGCTTTTCTCTTCAAATTAAAATGGACATTTGCTACCTAGAGCCATCCCAAAAGTGTCATCACACATTTTTCTACAAGAATACATAAACGTATGACAATTAATTGTATCACATTTGGTAATGCTAAATTGATACCTGCTTTTTTTCCTTTGTGAATAAGAAGCATAATTATGGACAAATTCACATTCAAATTTCTTTAAAAAATAGTGTTATGTCTGTGGCTCAAGAGAAGTTCTGTCCTTGTATTGACTTTCTGAGCCACTCAACCATTTGAATACTTCTGCAATTTAAAATATTTGGTTATTCCTGTTGGGTAAAATAGTCAGAAGCAATGCTGGATTCTCATTCTCTTTGGAAGTCAGTTCATCAGCAGTTGCATGGATGGTTTTTAGGCTTCATATAGCGTTGGGTGGAGGCAGGGAGGGGCATTGATCTGTAGTGTAGACTCCCTGCTTTTGGAACAGGTGCTCTCCAGAACATCAACTCTGACAAATTACTTCTGTCTGAAGCAGTAGCGGAAACTGAAGTTTCTGCTAAAAGCGTCCATTCCCCGGCCTGCCCACTAATGTCCTGGAAGAATGGATGGTGAACATCTGGAGATATTAATCTGTCTGTTTTGTGTCCAAACAATGAACATCTGCAGCTTCCAAGAGTCAGAGCAAAGCATATACAATTTGTCTCTGGCCTCTGTTTCCAGGGCTGTGAATTTCTTTGAGGTTGTCTGTTTGATACATGGTTAAGTCAGATGCTGTACAAAAGCAGATTTTCTACAAAATAATAATAAAAAAGTGACAATTATGATTTCTTCCGTCTCTGATTTTTCCCTATTTCTTTCCTCTTTTCCTTTGTATTCTCCATTCATTCTCCTCTACTCTTAGTCCTTATATCCCAGCCTTTTCCACAGTCCTTCTGAGTAATAATTTTATATTATCTCAATATTCTGTCGGTATTTCAGATGAGTTTTTTTTTACCCACAACCATTTTCTCATTTTTCCCCTAAGTACATTCTTTATTTCATTTTCACCTAACGTGCTCTGTTTCTTGTCAGACTGCTGTAGGGATATTGGTGTTTTGAGACAACACTAAGACACCCCGGTCCGGTGCCAGGATGTTGAACAGATACACAAGGCAGACCCTTCTGTCATGGGTGTCATGTTCACATGTGCTGTACTCCTGCTCTGTGCAGCAAATCCTTTATTGCAAAGCCCCTTTCTTGAGCAAGTTTTGCAGACCTGGAAGAGGCCAGTGGTATAAGCAGCCAGCTGTGGAAGAGGTTTTGGGCCTGAGAGCTGCATTCCTCACTGAAAGGACACGTTTCAGACACAGCTTTGCAATATTGTGCCTGCTGAGAGGGGATGAGCTGGCAGTACCTCAGCTCAGTATGTTTAATTATTTATTCTCCCTGGCAACTTTATCAGAAAGGGGCTTTATTTTAAATTTGAAGTTTTCTGTGTTTAATATAAACTGCCAAGTTAAGAATGGCAGTTGAGATTTCAAACAAATACTACTCACAGTTCATACTGACATTTAACCTTCTGTCTCTCTCACTGATAATAATTTAGGAAAGCAGAAGCAGTAACATATAATATAAGCATGATCCCTTCACACTTATTTGTGTCCCTACTGTTCCCATCCCCCTGCAACGTGGTGTAACTGGAACTGCATTACTTGACATTTCTCATTCTGTGTATTTAAATATGCTTTGGCTCTTTGAACAGCCTACCAGGGAGATGTCACTGAAGAGTAAAACTATTTTCTAAGCATAGAAAAGTAATTGTAAAGTCCTTCAAGGACAGGTGTAATGTCTGGGACTGCACTTTATTTTTTCTTTCTAGCTTTCACTTAAAGAACTTCTGTGTTTCAGACAGAAAAAATGGCAGTGAGACCCTTTGTCCTCTTTTTGGACGCCCAGAAGATTCAGAGTTAGCGTGTTGGGGATGCAGAGAGCAAACAAACACAGACAGTGCTTACAGGGGATATCAAGATTAATGCTCCAGGGTTGCAGCCAACATCTGAGTAATAGGCTTTGGAGGAAACTTTCCCTGTTGGCAGGTCATTCCGTGGCTGTCACCTTCAGGATTTCTTGTGTTCTCTTTGGAAACATTTTGTGCGAGCCAGGGACAGAAGCAGGGCCTCGACAGGGTGCACCCCGAGGGTGGGGACATCAGGTCTCTGCAGCAGGTTGCTCTTCAAGCCCAAGGGCTGCTGAAGATACAAGCAGGATAGGCACCTGACCATTAAAAGTTAATGTCAGTGGGATCATGAGCCAATGAGCAATAACTGAATGTGTTTTGGGAGCCCTGGGACACCCTGTCTGGTCCCAACAGCTCCTCAGACAGCCACTGGTGTCGTGTTAGCACAGGCTGCCCAGAGAGGTGGTGGATGCCCCATCCCTGGAAACATATAAGGTCAGGCTGGATGAGGCTCTGAGCGACCTGATCTCACTGAAGACATCCCTGCTCACTGCAGGGGGTTTGGACTAGATGACTTTTAAAGGTTCCTTCCAACCCCAACTATCCTATGATACTATGGCACTCCTGTCTGCTCAAAGCACCTCTCTTGGGCACCCTCCAGTGCATCCTGCTCTGTTATCAACCCCTAAAACCACTAAACCAGTAAAAACCTCTACATTACCCCTGGTATCACTGTGGCCTTGTCAAACAATTCCCTCCCTGAACTGTTGCTTCGTGGGTACACGTTTCACCACAGCGGTTTGCCCTCTCCACTTCAACTGCTTGACCCCATCCACAGAAGGGTCAACCCAAGCTTTTTGGGATACTCAAGGCAGCAAGAGAGCCAGAAGTACATTCAGATTTAGTTAATATCTCCTGTATGCAATAGGCCTTTGCCCGAAAGCCGGTGTTACTTTAGGTCATGGGGTCATTTCAGGGGCCCAGGCCTTGACTTGCCTCACAGCCATCCTGAATGTATTTCACCAAGCATGTGCCTTATCTGCATAAAGTTCAGGGCAGGAATCACGCTTCTGCTTTTCCACCTGGAAAGCAGTATGGACAAACCATTCTTTCTGACTGAAAAAAGCCCCCCATGGCTAATTCTCCATGTCTTTTCCTCCTTCACAAACTGGAGATTGAGGACGTTTCGTGAAGCCAGTTTCCAAGCACTCCAGTGATTGTCACTAGCAAATACTTGTTGCTGCAAGCTGCAAAAGTAGTTAGTCCAAGACCAGAAAGGAACTTTGACTACAGAAAAAACCCATTAGATACTGTGTGATGAAAGGAACAAAGCTTTCATTATTTTGACAAAATATATTCTCTGTGGGGCCTGATATTTTCACAATACTGGTGGTGGTTTGGAAGGCATCACCAAGCAATAAATCGTGCCCTACTAAACTCTTGATACTAAACTCTTGAACCTGAAATGAGGCTGCAAATTCCCATCTCTCTAGCCCAAATTTCCTGGTTTGGGTCGCTTGTGTAGTCAGGTGAGAGTTAACTTTTTTAATCCCAAATGCTTACATTAAGATATTTTCCCCCCTATATTTCTGTTTACATCACATCCAGACTAGTCTAAGCTGATAGACATGAGTTTCTAATACCCCTAGCATATTAATAATGCTTCTCAGCCCTATCTCCCTGAATTATGTTTCCTACTTTTCCCTTAAGTGTTCTTTGAACTTAAAAAAAGAAGATTTCTCATGTGATAACTGGACAGTGAAGATAAAATATGCTCCCACATTCTCGTATTGGAAAATTGAAGAGAGATTTAGCCAGCAGAGACAAGATCTGTGCTGTCCAACAGAAACAGCCACAGAGATTGAGGCACTCACAGTCAGGACACATCATCAAGGGGCTTGGATTAAAAGAAATATTTTAAAATACTAAGTATTCAGTGGGTTTCTGGCTAAGGACTCTCAGAACAC